ACATATAAAGGATAATATATACTAAAATTCTTATAATTAAGACGTACGCTGTTATATGTCTATCTTTATTAAGCTGTGTGCACTTTTATAAGACAAATAATATCTTAGAAGTAGTATCTATATTTTAGTTATACTTGAGTTAATTGCAACATTGTCATAACCTCAAATAAAGCACAACAGGATGAGGTCTAGTTAAATAAAAAGAAGAAAAATAAAGAAGTCCTTCTGCCCACGCCATTTCAGCCACACTCCTAAATTACATTGTATACCGCCTAAACTCTACCCACTCTCCTAAATTACACAGAGCTCCCGCGCCTTTTCAGCTTCTCATGCCCACGATCGCAATATGCTAAATCCTTTCCATTATTTTTCCAACTGAAAGATTATCTCAAACCAGTCTCTCACAAGCTATCGTTTGGATGCTTCTCAATTCCACAATCCATTCGGCTAAGTGGTAAGTATTTTTTATCAATCTAATTTTTCCAGTATATTGTAGATATGTTGAAAGCTTGTGCTCATTATAATTGGGAATTGAGGCCTAATTTGATTATTAGTACTCATATTTTACTATCTAAAGATTTTTAGAAATCAATAAATGCTACTGTAATCTTTTTACATTATCAGGAAAGAAAGTTTGTCAGAAAAATAACTTCAAATCGTGAGTGGATGTACAAAAGTTAACTAGAGGTTTGTATAATCCAGAATTCGTAAGGGGTGTTGAGCAATTTATTGAGTTTGCAAAGAATCATCGGGAAGGGATGGATGGTGAGAGACTAAGGTGCCCATGTAACCGAAAAAAGTGTCAGAATAGAAATTTTGAAGATGTTCTTACGGTCGACGAACATTTATTGCGCGACGGCTTTGTACCTGGGTATCATATATGGTACTTGCATGGAGAACATGAGGTTACTAGAAATATAGTTCAACATGAAGAGATGCAAAATTGGGATCAGACTATGAATATTGCATCAGTAAATGTGGGTGCAATTGATGATCCTGGATCACCTACTTCATACCATAGAATGGTCATTGACGCCGCTGGCCCCTCATTTGATCCGAATGATATGGATGAATTACCGAATCCTGATGCGCAAAAATTTTATGATATGATTGATTCTGCAAATCAAGAGGTGTGGCCTGGCTGTGAAACACATTCTCAATTGTCAGCTGTTGTACGTTTATTGCATATCAAGTCGGAACACCATCTATCTGACAGATGTTTTGATGATTTGTCAATATGTGAATGAGATGATTCCTCCTGATAACCTAATGCCAAAAAATTTCTATGACACTAAGAAGTTAATGCAGGGAATGAACATGCCAGTAGAAAAAATTCACAGTTGTATCAATGCCTGTATGATTTATTGGGGAGAAGACAGTGAACTTAGTCATTGCAAGTTTTGTCGTCATCCCAGGTACAAGCCTACTAGGCAAATATCTAATTCAAAGAAAAATCTTGTACCATTCAAACAGATGTACTACTTTCCCCTCACTCCACGGTTGCAACGCTTATATGCTTCCGACATGACTGTTGCACATATGCGATGGCATGCCGAGCATGAAGTTGAGGAAGGTGTGATGCGTCATTGTTCAGATGCACCCGCATGGAAACACTTTGATAAGATGCATCCATCTTTTGCAGCTGAAAGTCGTAATGTCAGATTGGGGCTATGCACAGATGGTTTTCAACCATTTGGACAAACATGTCAACAATATTCATCTTGGCCAATAGTTATGACACCATACAACTTGCCGCCTTGGATGTGTATGAAAGAGTCCTATTTATTTTTGTCAGTTATAGTTCTTGGGCCGAAGAACCCTAAGCAGAAACTTGATGTTTTCTTGCAACCTTTGATTGCAGAACTAAAAAATCTATGGAGTATAGGTGTGGACACATATGATATCTCTAAGAAGCAAAATTTTAACATGCGAGTTGCTTTGATGTGGACAATTAGTGATTTTCCTGCATATTCGATGTTGTCTGGATGGGGTACTGTGGGTAGGCTAGCATGTCCATATTATATGGAGAATACAGATGCTTTTACTTTGACAAAAGGTGGCAAACAGTCCTGGTTTGACAATCATCGTAAGTTCCTTCCACTGGATCATCCATACAGAACTAATAGAAATTCATTTAGAAAGAATAAAGTAGTCACAATGCATCCTCCCCCGATACGGTCAGGTGATGATATATTGAGGGAGATAAATGAATTGGGGTTGAAAAAGGTAACAGAGCTTGGGACTGATATTGTTAATGGCAAAATTAGCAAGTTTTCTGGTTGGAAGAAAAGAAGCATATTTTGGGATTTGCAGTATTGGAGTACAAATCTCATTCGACACAATCTAGATGTTATGCACATCGAGAAATTTTTTTTCGAGAATATGTTCAACACAGTGCTAGATGTAGATGGTAAAACAAAAGATAATCCCAAATCTAGAGAAGACTTGAAAGAGTTCTGTCGACGGCCTGAATTACATGCTGTTGGTGACGAATATCCGAAAGCTTGTTACACACTAGACAATAAGTCAAAAAAAGTGTTGTGTGAATGGGTGGAGAATCTGAAATTTCCAGATGGATATGTCTCAAATATAGGAAGGTGTGTGGACATGAAAAAACATAAATTGTTTGGTATGAAAAGTCACGATTGTCATGTATTCATGCAAAGATTGGTCCCTTTTGCGTTTCTTGAGCTATTACCACAAAAAGTTTGGGAACCACTTGCTGAGATGAGCCTTTTTCTTTAGGGATCTCACTTCCACAACAATTCGGGAAGAGGATATGGTCAGACTTGAACAAGAAATACCTGAAATACTTTGTAAATTGGAGCGTATATTCCCTCCCAGCTTCTTTGATTCAATGGAACATCTCCCCGTGCATCTTGCTTACAAAGCAAGGATAGCAGGTCCAGTGCAATATCGATGGATGTACCTATTTGAGAGGTAAAATTTCATTGATATTAAGTCAATCACTTCATTATCATCATCATGAATGACTCACAATTTGAGCTTATATGTTATTTCCAGAAACCTTCGGAAATTGAAAAATAATGTTCGAAATAAGGCACAAGTTGAAGGATCCATATGCAATGAGTATTTAGTTGAGGAAGCTTCATCGTTTTGTTCACACTACTTCGAACCTTATGTTTACACAAGGCATAGGAAAGTTCCACGGAATGATGATGGTGGTACAAGGGAAAGGGATGAGCGCGATGGTAATCTTTCTATATTTACCTATCCAGGTAAAGCATTTGGGAGATGTAAACCAAGATATATGACTGAAGAAGAACTTGATGCAGCTCATATTTATGTTTTATTAAATTGCCCAGAAGTACACCCATATATTGAGTAAGACTTCAAGCTTTTGTTTTCATTTATAGATTAGCAAAATCATCAAAACACTTAATATATCATTTTCTTGGATGTGATTCAAAGGATTTTTAGTGACTCCCTTCGTCAAAATTTCCCACAAATTACGGAGAAGGAAGTGGATAGGAAACTTGATGAAGATTTTGCATCATGGTTTAAAAGATATGTGAGTACTTGTACAATATCCTTCCACTTATACTTACCTTATGAGAAACTCTAATTATTTTTCTTTTATAGGCACGAGTCCACATAGATAATCAGTTCATCAAGGCCCTTGCAGAAGGTCCATGTCAAACAACGCAACCATGGACCGGTTATATTGTCAACGACTTTAAATTTCACACTAAAAGCCGCAGTTCTTCTAGAGCATCTAACAACAGCGGTGTATGCATAAAAGGAACTAATTATAGTGCAGATGATAGTGACTACTATGGTGTGCTAACTGATATCCTTGAATTGGAGTACAAGGGTAGTGAATATATAAAGAGAACTGTTTTATTCAAGTGCGAGTGGTTTGATCCCACACCAAAGGCAGGAATGAAGATTTACCCACAATATAAACTTGTGGATATCAACCATGAAAAGAAATTAAAGAAGTATGAACCATTTGTTTTGGCAATGCAAGCGGCTCAAGTGTATTATACAGCTTATCCTAGCTTACGACGTGATAAGAGTGACTGGTGGACTGTGTGCAAAGTAAAAGCACAGGGTATTGTGGACATGCCTCCATCATCTTCACAGTCAACTCCGACAGATGGTGTTGAGCCTTTCCAATCCGAAGAAGATGGTTTAACATTTGGTGTGGTACCTGACAATGAAACTGTTCTCCTGAATGATCCAAATGGTGAATTCATAAACATAAGTGATGAGGATGATGATTTAGATGATGAGGTAGAACTTCATGTTGAATTTGGATCGGATGAAGATGAGGATGAGGATAATGAGGATGAAGCGCCATATGATGAAAATGACAGTGAATAGAGTCAAAGTGCTTCAATCTCTTCAACTATAGAGTTTGAATGAATGAAACATAGTATATAATTTATTTTTATTACTATTTGATTTTACATTTTCTGAGAAAAAAGTTCCTGGATTTCAGATTTCATGGTTTCTTGTTTTTTTAAACTTAAGTATTTGTATTTAATAGCTCTTTCACTTGCTTGTTTGACCGGTTACCATCAATATCATTTTGTGAGGAGTAGTAGTTGTATTTTGCAAATGCGGTAAGAAATACTTATAAAGTTGTTTGTCTTTTTAATCTGCCATGTCTAGATTAATACTTGTATGCCTTATTTTTTCAGTGCATTCTGTTCTTGGAGTAATATATCAATTAATTACTCTTGGAATAATATATCAATTAACTACTTATTACTGTATCCAATTAGATTTGATCATAATTCATTAATTATGTATTTGTTCATCTACATATGACTTTGGAATTGCAGATATGGCACCTAGGGGAGGTGGAGCACGTAGATATGCTGAAAACAAGAATGCAAACACATTGAGATCTCCTGAGATGTTGAGTCCCACATCTAATCAGTCACCATTATCACCTGAACCTCCAGTTATAGAAACACCACATTCGGATGCAGCTATAAACAGATCCTTACCATCTTCATCTTCTGATCTTGGTACACCTGGAGATGAAATCCAAACAACAAGTTCGTCAAACACTATTGGTGGTAACCGTATCCCAATTACAATCGTCCTTGGAGGGTAAGAGTACAAGTGTCATCTATTTATATTTATTTATTTATTTTTGTTTCATGCTTATCTGGTGTGTATTAGTGCATCTTTGTGAAGTTATGCGAAGTCATACCTGATTGTTTAGCATCTAAAAAGATAGATACATATTTAGACAATTGGGACAGACATGTTGACGCACAATTTGTTATAGTATGTCAGTTAGCGAAATCTTTTTTATCTTTTTTGTATGGTACGTAGGACAAGCACTTCAAATGAACATGTCAATTGATTTTCTACTCTAACAGCAGGTGATCTTATCCAAAAAACTAGAAAAAGCAGGAAAGTTCTTATCTTTTTCAATATGACTAGACAATGACTCTAGATGAATATGCTCATGGAATCGTCTTATAGAGGAAAGCTTTTCTATTTTATTTTATATGAAGTAAGACTTGGTCTTATTAGGAAAACTTTTGGAAGAATGTATATGATTTGCCTATATGAGTGCATTAATGTGGTCTTCGTTGCATACCAAAATCTTAATTCCTTCATATTAACTCTAGTTAGGAGGTAACAACTCATTTACTGCAGTAATTGTGTAAAATAAAGATATTACTTACACTTCACACAAAAAATATAAATTGATTCGTAAGAAGATGGGCAGACGAATGTCCCTTTTGATGATTATTAAGCATCGCCTAAGTAATTCACGTTATTTCTCAAATGCTTCTGGAAAGAATATGAAATCTTTAAATGAAATGGAATAATAAAATAATTTGTTTCTTATTTACTCTAGTCTGGACCCGGGCAATCAAGTTGCTCGGTCTGTCACAAAAATCTTCAAGGAGAAACTGGATCACAAAGGACATAATTGGAAGTCTGTTACACCAGAGACAAAAGATTTCTATTGGGAAGAGTTTAAGGTAAAGTTATATTACTAATTATCATTTTAATAATGGACTTTGTACATTTTAAATTTCTGTTGTATCAATCTTGTGTTTCATCTGTTCTGTGCGCATTCCAGAAAACACACTGGTTTGGGGATTCTGACATCTCTAATTTGATTAATACTAGGGTGGGTAGCCAAACAAAACCTGGTTAGTAGTCTTCAATGTCAAGATGTATAGGAGATATCAGATAATTATGATGAACTAATAAATAAATGCATTAGAAGTATGCTTTAGTTGGCTAGGGGGAATGCAATTCTTTGCTTTGTTAGTTTCTAGACAGATAATTTCAGTAGTCCGACCTAAAATGTGGGAGAAATTATGATATCGTGAATGAGCTCCTAATTATTTCATCTAGTGCTATTAAGTCTATCGGAAGTAGACCTCTCTTACATCTTTGAGAAACCTTGTAATCATGATTAAGTCCTTCTAGTTTGTCATATTGGTGCTTTTTTCTTCAGAATTTCCTTCTGCTGAGTACATATATGATACATTTATCAGAATTTCACGATACTTGAATTCCTCTCATTGCAATATTTTATTTTTGTTGCATAATTAGTGAAAAACAATCATAATCCTTATATATAACAGTTTTTATAACGTCCAAGACTTCTTAGTTTCAGTGCTTTTATGCTGCTATAAATACCTACACATCAGTAATGCAAGATAAAAGGATGAAAAATAGAAAAATTAATACGATAATATTATACTAGTTAGTTTCCCTTTCTGCCAAATGTACAAATGTCATGAAGTAACTACTGCATGAATTATTTTAAGATCCCATATTTCCTTCAACTTCCGGAATATACATATGTTGAATTGTATAGGTTCTGGTCCAAGCATCGTCATTTATCAAGTACCTTGACAGAGCAATTCTAGGACTGCTATGTCCTGCGGCACCAGTGTCCGAGAAGACCTAGGGGAAATTTATAATGACCACAACAGTAAAGATGGAATAAGCATAAACTTTTGGTCCCATATGTTGTTAATAATTGTGTCTGGCAAAGGTTTTTGCTATCTTGAGGGATCACAGTTCTTTCTTAGTATTTGGTTGGTGATCTCTGTTTTTAACTTGATTTTTAGATAAGTAATTTTTTTTTCTTTAGCTAGGCTAGAAGATCCTTCTCATTCCTTTTAGATAATTGGAGTTATTCTTTTTTTTTTTCAAATAAGATCGATAATATTTGGAGTTCCCTTTATCTTTCTTGAGCCGAGGATCTACTACACTAGGTAAGTTGTTGTTGTTATTAATATCTTGTGTTATTTTTCATTTGATCTTCTCAAACAGAAATGATTTCAATGGGACACTGCAATTGAAGGTGCCATAAAGGATAAGTTTATGAGCAAATGTGCAGAACGATACAAGGGCATGTTATCTGAAGCAAGAGCTTGTGAGAAAAAGCGCAAACATATTCCAGTATCTATTTGGGAGAGCTGGAAGCCTCACTGGGAGACTGAGGATTTTAAAGCCAAGTCTCCGCAATGCTCAAGGAATCGACTAAGTGAAAAAGGTGGTGAAGGGTCTGGTCCCTCACGCCATACAGGAGGCTCTAGAGCTCACCGTGAACATGCAAGACTACTGGTATATTCATTTTTCTTTAGCCAAGTTAGAATATCTCCAAAGCTAGTGATTATGTATTAATAAAGTGAACGTGATTTTCAATTTTAGGCTAAAGAACTAGGAAGACCAGCTCATCCACATGAGCTTCTAAAGAAGACACATGTCAAGGCGAACAAGGAGTTTGTGGACCAAAAATCTAAGAGCACATATGTAAGTTACTATAGCTTGGCTGTCATTTTTTGGCACGTAAAAGTAAAGCACCTACCTTGGCGATTACATATCTCCTATTACCAATTTTGAGTGAGTTTGGTCTTACAATTTGAACTATGAAATGTCGAAACCTGTAACCTATAACAATATAAACAAACTATAATATAAACTATCCATATGGATATAACTGCATGAGCGCCCACTGTCTCCAAATTTGATTCGCCTTCTTCCAAGAGCTGGGCAGATCCTTGTAGCTCTTTGAATAATTTATTGACATCTTCATTATTTGTCTTGAAAGCATAGCACAAAGTTTGATCACTAATCCAAATAAAAGCAGTACATCCTTCAGTTCATACGATATTCGTGCTTTTGTGTGATTCCTTGTTGATTTGTTGAAACTCGTCTTGAGATTCCATTGCATCCTTTTATGTATTCTGTTACTCCCCATATTTGGTAAATATCTTGTGAATCACCTCCCACATTTGAAACTTCGAGTTGTCCAGGTCTATAGCACAATGAGTTTAATTTTCTTTATGATAATATAGTGTACCTTCCTAGAATGTAGCGACGTCCAGTATAATATCAATGTATTATTATTCCCATGAATCACATCCTGGGAAATTATACATATATAATACAATGCATATGCCCTTATGAGATCCCTCCAAATATAGCTCCCAAAGTCAGTCAGGAGCGTGGCCATAGAACTGGGCAGTGGCTTTCCTCTGAGATGCAGTAAATGTGAGTCCCTCTTTTCTTTATGGAAAAATGGCAGAAACATAATGGTTTGGACATGATTGTGTATTCTGAGCATATGCCCTCTAAGATTGAGAGAACAGATAGTCCTAAGTATTTTTTATTTACTCCATGGTTCCATGCTTATGCCTACTATCCGACACCTGTTCATAGGAGTGAGTATCAAGTGCTAATACCACCCAATAAAATTGTATCAAACGTTAAAGCATGGATACAGTAGCTTTCCCTGCAAAAAAGAACACAATGTTAATATAAACAAGACCCACCATGTTCTCCTCCCAAAGGATTTGAACAAGGCAGGTATGTTTGGTTATCTCCCCCTCCATTGTGTTCACCTTCTCCTCCCCTTTCAATCTCTTGCAACTCTTATTCTTAAGTATGGGCATTGACATTTATCGCTATTCACAATCTTTTTCCTGTACTGTCCAGTTGTGCAAAAGAATCACACTCCATAGGACCTACATCAAGAGCATAATTAGCTAAGTTATCAGTCAGTCTGTTGTCTCCGCGATACATATGCGTTATGATAACGTTACACTCCTGTAACAGCTTCCTTATTTCCTCCACATGCTCTACAATTCCCCATGGTGTACTCCACCTTCTTTCAATGACATTCTTCAATAGCATAGAATCTGTTTGCACCCAAATAGGAGATAGCAACTGAGCTTTACAATACCTGAATGCATGAAGGATAGCTACTGCCTCTGCTTCTATGTTTGTAGTTTCATGAATCACCTGCCCATGTACATAAATAATATCCTCTAATGCATCTCGTATACAGTAACCAATTGAACTCTTGCCTGGGTTCCCTCTCGTAGCAC